AGGACATGCCTCATGTCATGGAGTATGCATGTGGCTTTCAACCCTTGGGACTTTACTGAAAAAAAAAAAAAAAAGTAAAATGAAGCAGGTGCCTGTGTCCCCTATTGACTTCAGGATCTGTAAAGGAGGGTGGCAGTGAGCCCTGTAGGGTGAGCTGACCCTGCTCTGGGGGCCTCGTGACCTCGGTTTGCTTATTTCTGGGATGATGTCATCTATTGATGACTTCTGCTGAGCCCAGTCATATGGCTTCTTCCGGACTGTGTTTTGATTTTTCAGTCTTCCTAATGGACCAGCCCAGGCTGCCAACATTTCCAAAGAGGCCAGTTCATTTTCCCTTCAAGCCAGAACACCAGCCAGATCAATTATTTGGCTACTAGGAGCCATTATCAGTTTAAAGCCAGGGGCCTGCTTCTTGGGCTTAGCATGAGTTCAATCACAGAGTGCTGGGGCCATCTCCTTTGTTTTGTAAAATCCTCTGGTTTATTATGATGGCAACAGACTCCCGGTTGCTCTTAATGATAATGAAACATGAGCTCACTGGAATCAACCGAGGGCATGGTCTGGAGTCTTCTGGGCTGAGGCATTGGGTATCTTGTCTGATAGAAAAGCTAAACAAACTCAAGCATTTCTCTTGTCCATTTCCTTGTGTCATTTCAGAGTGATACGATTTGGGATAAGCTCAATATTGCAGTGTCTAAGAAGGTGGGTAGGAGGGGGAGGAGACAGGCCCCACCCTTATGTCCCTGTCATATGCCCAGGGTCCCTGGCTGCCTTTCACTCTGGGACTTTAGAGTAGTGCCACAGGGCTGTTCCTAGAGACGTCTGTAGTGGATGGTGGCAGTGGCCATTGGGCATTTCCTCCCATGCCGAGATGAGGCAAGGAAAGCAGAGGCACCTTGTGACCTCATTCCCCCTGCTTCTTGGACTCATCTTCTGCCTGACCTTTCAGTGCTGCTGCCTGTAGTGGCCTCTCATCCTGCTCCTCTCATACCTCTTTACCTATCTGACAAGTCCTTGTGTCCAGTCTGAACAACTCTCCTTAGCCACCAGGCTCCTGCACACTGGGCAAAGCCAGTAATGGGTCACCAAGATGTTTCTGCCTCAACAGACCCAGCTTTGGGCTCTCCTGTTAATCCTCTTGTGTTCTCATCTTGGTCACCAATGACACTGTCTACCTGGACACCAAGCCAGAGCCTCCCTTCCCTTTACTGTCCCCTCACAGGTCACCCAGTCGATTGTACCTTCCTTTACAGCTCCTATCCATTCTTAGGCCCACATGTACCACTACAATCAAGGACTTAGGCCTCTCCACCCCAGGCCATTGTTGGAGTCTCTTCAAAAGGGACTAGGCTGCCATTCAAAGGGATTCCCAAAACAGAGATATGTATGGTCTTTTAACACTTTTTTAGGGGGACTCCCCATTTCCAATTAAAGACCACAGATTCCTTAGCACTAAGCAGGATCTGATCCCAGGGTACTTGAAATCCCTGCCAGGCCTGCCCAGATCCTATGAACCTTCCCAATGGTCAGAAGTATGCTGACTTTTTGTGTCTCCTGCCTTTGCCTCGCCTGGGATGCTGCTCCATGTACTCAACCAAGGAACTTCAATCATCCTTTAAGGACCGGCTCCTTGGTTTCTCATCTCTGCTTCTTTTTAACTCCCAAGCACCGGCTCAGTGTGCTCAAACCGGACCCATTTACTGCCTTCTGTCTGGGCAGATAGGAAGCTACTGGAGGGCAGTCCCGGTGGCTTCTGTATGTATGTAGTATCATCCTTAGTGTCTAGATCACCGCTCAAATGCTTGCTGTGGTATAGGTTCTAGTAAATGGTGGACGGATGAATGAATGAGTGAATGACTAAGTCATCACAATGACAGGCATACAATACACATTAACTGGCATTTATATGTTTTCTCATCCATGAGCCATCGGCTCCATGGGGCCAAGAACCAGACATGCTTGGTTGCTTCCTATCAGGTCCTTAGCTCCCATCAGTCCCATCACAATGGTCAGCCAATGAGACAATCTCCCATATCATTTGAAACTCACCACAATCCTATAAAGGCAAAACTTGTTTTGTTTTATAATTAGACAGTGGACCCCAGCAGGAATTGGGGTGCATATTCCAAAATATTGAGGTGCTGTCCAGGGTTATACACTTGAGGAACAAGGGTCCCCACATTCTGTGTCAATGCCTCTCTCTTTCTACTGGACATCTCAACCATGTGGAATCTTTCTGTAAGTATGCAGATTCTAGCTGAATTTCCAGTGAGCATTTTGCTTCTAACGAGCTGGATGATGCCTGTCAAGTAATAAGCCTAATTACCACTAACAACTCTTACCATCACAATAAAGATCCCAACCTTCATCCCCTCCATACCCACACCAACTTTCTCCTGCTGGACTTTAAGACAGTGTTTCCTAAAATCTACAGGTGAATGCTTTTGCACAATGGCTCAACAGCAAGGGCTGTTTCTGGTCAGCACACTGCTTACAAGTTTGGTACCAACAAGCTTGTGGTCAGTATTGGGGTGGGAACCTGAGACAGCTTAGATGCTGAGATAACAGACACCCAGGGTTGTACAAATTAAAAAGGGATGGGGTGGGGGAGGAACATAAAAACAGTCTTCCCCGGTGCCAACTCAGGCAGATTACAGAACCTCTGAATGGCAGTGCTGTATGTGTTTGTGTGTGAGCTTTGTGCATCAAGTTCTGCTTGCTTGCGTGAAAGCATTTGAGACGGCTCAGAATAAACCTAGATGGACAAAGAAACTCACAGAGACAGGCCACTTTTTTTTTTTTTTAAGACAAGGTTTCTCTGTAGCTTTGGAGTCTGTACTGGAACTCGCTTTGTAGACCAGGCTGGCCTCCAACTCACAGAGATCTTCCTGCTCTGCTTGCTGAGTGCTGGGATTAAAGGCGTGCGCCACCATCACCCAGTAGGCAGACATCCTTAAAAGACAGAAGAAACCTGGAAGGTTACAATCATGTCATAGATCATTGCTGTAGAAAAATGAATATATCCATCCATATTGCAGCTCACATAGCATTCCAGTAGTTCAAAGACCCCCCCCCCCGAAATCCATTCAGAAGTGCTAATGCCCAACACAGAAGGAGAGAGTACTTTGCAAGGGTCCTGGCTGGACATGGCAACTATTTCTGGACATGCAGCTCCCGGTTAATGATGGTAACTGAGGAGATGAGGTCAGCTTCTTTGTGCCTGACACAAGGAAGGGCATGGGTCTTTCTTTTTTTATTATTTTTTTTATTAGTTCAAATTAGGAACAAGCTTGTCTCACATGTCG